CCTGGGTTCAGGCAATTCTCCTGCCTCAGCCTCCTGAGTAGCTGGGATTACAGGCACGCGCCACCATGCCCAGCTCATTTTTTGTATTTTTTTTTTTAGTAGAGACAGGGTTTCACCATGTTGACCAGGATGGTCTCGATCTCCTGACCTCGTGATCCACCCGCCTCGGCCTCCCAAAGTGCTGGGATTACAGGCTTGAGCCACCGCGCCCGGCCCTATTATTATTATTTATAGAATAGAGACAGGGGTCTCGGTATCTTGTCCAGGCTGGTCTCGAACTCCTGGGCTCGAGCGGTCCACCCGCCTCGGCTTCCCAAACTGTTGGGATTACCGGCGTGAGCCGCATCGCCCCGGCTGAACCGCCATTGCATTTTCGGGCCTCTGAAGTCAGATCTTGGGTCTCTCCTGCGACCCCAGCTCCTGGGCTCCTAAACCCCCTTCCAACACAAGGGGGCCCCTGACCTTTACCTTGACCCTATGCCCTCGACCCTCTCCGGCAGGTCCTTTCGGTGGGCAGCCTTGGAGGAAACGCCGCGGCGCAGAGCGGCCGCCTCGGAACAGCCGCCCGCCCAGCCGGCACCGACAGCTCCGCGGAGAAAAAGTTGGAAGAGCGCGCGGGGCCAGGCGGCCAATCGGCGGCAAGGGCAGTGACGTGGCCTCGGGGCGCGGCGGCCGCAGCCCCGTTCACCTTCCCACGGGGCCTCTCCGGGCCCGAGGTCCCTAGGTCTAGGCCGGGGCACCGCCGCCAGGCCCGTGAAATGGGCTGAAACCTCCGGCGGGCGTTGCCAAGGCAGAAGCTGGACCAGACGGTCCTGCCCCTGCGGGCACCCGCGGGCCATGCAGCTCAGAACAGAACCACCGAGAGGACGCGCATTGAGACCCGAGCTGAAGGGCTGGCGCGGAGTGACCCCCAAGGCGGACGGACCCCGCCACCAACCGCAGTCCGGAACCTCGGCACCTCGGCACCTCGGCACCTCGGCACCTCGGCACCTCGGCACCTCGGCACCTCGGCACCTCGG